CTGGTTGGGGGGGAAGATGGTGCAGCAGACAAAGACGAGTCGAAAGGGCTTTTTCGTGGTCGACGGCGGCATTCTCGTAGGGTTGACTGCGTGGCGAGGCCATGATGCAGCGCCGTAGGAGGAGATGCAGCCGTGGGAGGAGAAAAAAACCGTGGGAGGAGGTGAAGGTGGAGGAAGCGTGCAGGCAGACACGCGCAAGATACCTGAGAGGCAAAGGCAGGCGAGGCAGGCGAGGCAGGCAAGGCAGAGGCAGGCAAGGCAGAGGCAGGCAAGGCTGGCGGTTTGCAGTCAGTCGCGTCCCCGTAGAGAAGGCGCGTTGGTCGTGTCAAGTGGCCGCCCCACGTCATGGACAGTGCGAGTGGCGAATTCGAACGCTGCATGGAGAGTATGCACTGTGTTTAATGCCTACACCCGCCCGAGGCCAGTGCAGAGCAGTGCCCCGCGGGGATTACAATACAGTGCGCAGACATTCCGTCCCCGGGTTCCCGCCCTCGAGGAACCTGAAGAACGTCAACCGGTTGCCGTCTGGATCCAGAATGCTGAACTGCCGGTACTCCCAGGGTTTGTCCTCGATTTCCTCGACCACCTTAACCGCCGGCCTCCCGCGGAGGTAGGCGTAGAAGCTGTCGACCTCGGCCGTACCCACGGCGATCATGACAGCCCCGGGCTTGCAGTCTTCCGGCGAGGCGCGGAAGAAGTATATGTTGGCGGCGGCCTTGGGACCGGCGTGGACGGAGCAGAAGTAGGCCTCGCCACCGTCTGATTCAGTGCCGGCGAGGGTGAAGCCGAGCTCCTCCGTGTAGAAAGCGGCCGTGGCCGCGATGGACGTCGACTGGAGAGAGGGGATGATTTTCCACGCCGAGGTGAGTGCGGCGGCCATTGTGCTGATTTGGTGGCTGTTGTGTGAGGTTCTCTTGATGGCTCATGGGATGAAGATGAAGAGTACCTACCTCTACCTACCATCAGGTGAGATATGAGCTTCGTCTCACGTGTCTTTACTTACCTGGTACTTGGGTACCTAGTTGCTAAGAACGCCAGAGGTACCAGGAGGTACTTGGCTTCGCGCCAGCACGTAGAGTGGCGCCTTTGGCGGGGTGCGTGCGCTGAAAGTCGACGGCAGGCGTGCTCAACCCCGCCTTCTGGCCCTTGCCCGCGTCGAGAGCACCTCTGCCTCTGCCTCTGCTTGCCTGCCTCTGCTTGCCTGCCTCTGCCTCTGCCTCTGCTTGCCTGCCTCTGCTTGCCTGCCTCTGCTTGCCTGCCTCTGCTCCCTATTTCTGCATCTGATGCCAACCCCGCCAACTTCATCAGCCTTGTGTCCAGTTCAGAATTTCTCCCACCCACGACGACCCGAGCTCTCACTCCTCAGCTTCCCAGCAACCCAGCGCACCTCACGCCTCGCACCTCACGCCTCGCACCTCACGCCTCGCACCTCACGCCTCCGAGCTCCGACAAGCAATCATCTCCACCACCGCAGTACGACCGCCCGGCCATCGCGTGCTCACACACACACCCCGCCGCCCATCCAAGGTTTTGGTCCCATGCGACAGGCACCCTGCTGAGGCCAGCTGAAGTTGCGTGCCCGAACCTACCTGAGCCTCCGAGAAGAAAAATACCAAAAAATTCATCAACCACCAGCAAATCGTCCGATCACGCGAGAGCCTGTATTTTTTTTCGCGACGCAGCGCCCTCGTATCGCCCTCGAACCGCTGCACCTCCCGAGCCACGAAATTTGCCCGTTTGACCCTCGCCATCTCCCACCCCCACCATCTCCTCTCGCTCGAGGCCATACGCCCGGCCGAAAAACGTTACACAGCTCGCCATCGCCATGGCGCCGTCCACGGCCCAGCTCAAGACCCTGTCGGCCCAGTTTGTCTCTCTGACAGGCGCGTCCGAGAGGACCGCCCAACGGGTACGTCATGGCCCGATCTCTATCTTGCTCGCGACCTGCCACGCGTCGTGCGCCTGGTCGTGGGCATGGGGTTTCTCGTGGCGAGAAGCCTGCTCCTCTCTCTCTTTCCTGACCCCAACTTGGATGCATGTTTCTTGCCCACGGCGTTCTGGTTCTTTTGTGCGCCTTGCCTTGGGCCTTGGGGCATCGAGTGGCAGAGGCCTCGTGGCGCGAGGGAAAACGCTGTGCTGCATCGCATGGTTCTGTTCAGGTGGCTAACCGTGATGGCCTGCAGTACCTCAAGAATGCAAACTACAAGATGAACGATGCCATAGATGCGTAAGTTGGTCTTTATCTTTCTGTCGGCCCCTCTATCGGCTCCCTATTGCCCTTGTTTCCGGGTCCTGTCGGGCGAGCAACAGTTTCTCTTTGCTTCTTTGCTTCTTTGCTTCTTCTCTGCTTCTTCTCTGCTTCTTCTCTCTCCCCACATCCGCTCTTTTCCTTTCTTCCGGTCCAATACGCGATCCAAGCGATCCAATGCCATCAGCCCGTCGGCATCTGATCTCTGCATTTCGCTTTCGGCTCAGCGCCCCTCGCTTCTGCCCCCGACCGGCCTCCAGGGTGCGCCGGCCCTTCTCGGACAATTTGCTGCAGCATATATGACCTCCCGGCGCGCTTTGTGGGGTCGCCCGCTCAATCTGTCGACTGCAACTCTCGGGTCGCCCTCCTCCTTGGGCATCTCCGTCGCCAGCGCACCAGAGAAAGGCCGAACCGCTGCCGATGTCGAGCCCTCGCTCTGAAACAAACCCGTCTGCCCTGCCACCTGATGCCCTCCGAACCTGGGGCGCATACATCCGACGCACTCTCGGGACCGCCCCAGGACCGCCCCAGGACCGCCCCAGGACCGCCCCCAAGAGTACCCCCAGGCTGCAGGAGTCCCAGGCCCAACCACAAGACAAAGACGGCCCTACAAAGGACGTCGATCGGCCCTCGCAAGTGCCGGCCGTCGCTCCAATGGGAGATGCCACCACCACCCCAAGCCTGCCCCATTCAGCCTGACCATCACACCCTCTCGACTCTGCTCCCCCCCGGATCGTCTCCCGACCTGTGTTCACACCGTCGACCTCGGCCGTTGCATCGTGTTCTTGTCCTGCCGCTATCCGCTTGTCCATGGTCCGCTTGTTCCGCTGCTGCCCTCGACACCCCACCATCTCCTCTTGATTCTTCCCACCTCTGCTGCTGCCCTTTTGCTTGCCACGCAGAGGACTCTTCCATATCCCGCATCTGATCGCCATCGTCGCTCGTGCACCCGTGCCAGCAAGGAGGATGGGCTGGGAGGGCATGAAGACTGCTCTGCCCTCTAGGGGCTTGAGTCTGTGGTCCTCGAAAAAGAAGACAGACGTGAAACAGCAACCTGGCGACGGGACTAAGGACAAGGACAAGGACAAGGACAAGATCCGATCTGTGTACTACCCTTGGCCCCCCCCTCCCCCTTCCCCTCCTTCTCTTTTTCCCGCCCCTTACTGGATGGAAGACCGCCCAGCCTGGCCGGCGCCACACGCGCGAGTGCTCGAATGGCGTCCTGCAGAATTGCTTCATTGGGCCTTGGACTGACCCGTCTCTCAGATTCTTTGGTGGAAGCAATGGAGGCAGCGGCGCGGGGACGCCCTCACCCCTCGAAGGCGACCTAAACAAGCTTTTCGACTCGCTGCGAGGTACGGCGGCCATGATGCGCATCTGAGCAAGAGCAGCCACTAACCGTTGCGCCCTAGGGTCGTCCGACAACAAGGATCACATGGGCATCGACTCAACGACGAGCTACCTCACCGAGACGCTGGGCGTCAACCCTGAGAATGCCGAGCTGCTCGTCGTCATGGAGATTGTCCAGGCCCCGGCGGTGGGCGAGATTACGCGCAAAGGCTTTGTCGACGGCTGGAAATCCACGGGGTAAGGCGGAGCCTCAGCCAGTCGCCGATCGATCATTGTCCGCTAACAGCCCCCACCAGAGTTCAAGCGACGAACAAGGACCACGCCAAACACATCAAGTCGCTCGTCAAGAAGCTGTCCACAGACCAGGCCCTCTTCAAGAAGGTCTACCGCCACACATTTGTCGCCGCCAAGGAACAGGACCAAAAGGCCATCAGCCTCGAGTACGCCCAGATCTACTGGGAGACGCTCTTTGCGCCGCCGGGCTGGCAGTGGGCGTCACAGAACCACAACTGGCTCGAGCTGTGGAACTCGTTCCTCGCCGCCAAGTGGACGCGCTCCGTCAACAAGGACATGTGGAACATGACGCTCGAGTTTGCCTACAAGTCCCTCGAGGACGAGACGCTGTCCTTTTGGAGCGAGGACGGCGCGTGGCCGAGCGTCCTTGACGAGTTTGTCGCGTGGTGCCGCGAGGAGAAGGGAATCAAGCCCGAGACGATGGACACGGATGCGTAGGGTGGGTCGTGCAGGCCGGTCGAATTATGAATATCTGACGGTGGCCGCTCACTTTGGCAGCGAGCGGCGGAGGAAGGCCAGAAGCGAGGAGAAACTGTGAAGCGTGAAGCCGTCGGCTGTTCACGATGAGGGCACGTTGAAGTTGATTACCGGCGGAGCATGGAGTATGCAGCGTTTCAGGGCTCGCTCCAGCGAATGTCTTCAGCAGAGGCAGAGCATAGAACATCAGTACATAGCAAGACACAATCACAGCATGGGAAGATCACAGCATGGGAAGCACCGCAAAATTGGCTCATGAACGTGTCCCTCTGTTGTACACCTGCCGGCCAGGGTGGCCTCGTATCCTACAGCCCTCCTGGTATCTGATCTCGGATCTCGGACTTGGTGATTGCATCGCCTCCATATCGTGTCGAGTGGCCTCTTTCCCTGTCCACCTCCGCCCCCGCCCTCCCCCCCCTACTCGTCGCGGACATCCCACTTGATGGCGCCAAACCGCGCCATGCTGCCGAGCTTGCCGTCGCCGACCTTGACGTGGGCGCTGCGGATGACGCGCGGGTCGAGGCTGATGGTCGAGCGCATGGTCTGGTGGGCGCGCGCCGAGGCGTCGTAGCGCATGACAAAGTAGTGGCCCTCCTTGTGCTTCATCTGGGCGCGCGTGATGGGCCGCGGCAGCGCGAAGACGCCCCAGTTGGCGAGGCCGCGGACGACGCCGCCGCTGCGGAGGATCGTCTGGCCGGCTGTCAGGGCGATCCTGGGGCTTGTTAGCTTGCTGGACTGCTTGCTGTGCTGCTCGCCGGACGCCTGCTGCTGGCCTGCTCGCTGCTGAACTGCTCGCTGCACGCCTGCTGCTTGCTGTGCTGCTCCTCGCTGTACGCCTGCTCGCTGTACGTTCTTCTGATGCCATGTGAGCAGAGGCAGCAGCAGCTGCTCCAGGGCAGCGGGCTCGAGGGCAAGGGCTCGAGGGAAATGGGAGGAAATGCATCGGTCATCGCTGGGATCAGGGCGTACTCTTTCACTTCGGCGAGATGGCCGGGCCGGACCTGGCGATGGTTAGCTTTCGATGCCTTTTTTCGATGCAGATAACATTCCAGCAGCGACGTACAATTCCTATGAGTTCGTAGAGCATGGTGGCGGCGACATTGATGCTTGGTTATGGCGAGTTCCAGAGGTGAGGTTCAGCGGCGACGCCTAAATTTTGGTAGACTGCGTTCGGGTGGGGCCACGGTGCGAAGACAGTTCGGGACAGATAATAGCACAGTGCTCGCCCCTGGCCTTTTGGAGCTTCGACATCAACTGAATCACGATCAACATTTCGTAGAATTACATGTTTCGGCCTCATTGCGGCTGTGTGCTAGTTTACATCCATGTACATGCAGGTGCTGCATACCAATGCCAGCATTTCTCCTGCCAACGTCGACTTCTCTGCCGGTACCCCTGCCATCGACATCTCCGAGCCATAAGCCAAGCAGTGCAGTGAGCTGACTCGTATGACGCTCATCTCTGGATCGTCTTCTGCGTGCTGCGTTTGTGACGCTCGCCTGCTACGCCTAGATCCTGATCGGCTGATCCCTAAATCTGCTGCTTCATCCCCGCCCGCCAGATGCTCCACGGCAGCTTCCAGCTCGCCCGCACGGCAAACGGGTTGAAATTCGCCTTCTCCAGGTTCGTCAGGTACGCCTGCGGCGGCACAGCCTCCATGAGCACGCTGAAGCTCTGCCGAATGTCGCGCGCGGCGTCGCTCTCGCCGGCCGCGTAGACGTGCCCCTCCTCGCCCTCGTGCTCAAACGCGTGCCCGGCCTCCTTGCCGAGCCGGAGGTTCTTGAGCATCTCCCGCGCCGTGATGAGGTGGTCGTTGGCCCGCGTCGCCACGGCGAAGACGGCGTCCTCGAACCCCGCGGCCTCGGGCCCCCGTCGGAACACGTCCTCCTCGCGCACGCCGGCCTCGGCGAGCACGTCCAGCGGCAGCAGCAGCACGGGGTCGCGCCCGCGCCCGACCTGCGCCGCGCTGCCGTCGGGTGCCGCTACGGCCGGCTGCGGCGCCGCGAGCACCGGCACACCGCGCAGCACGGCCACGATGCCGGCCGCCTTGCCGATGTGGCTCGCGAGGTGGTCGGCGTGCACCGACTGCACCGGCAGCGCCGCGAGCGTCGCGTACATGAGCGTCGCGTACGTGTTCTCAGCGTACTCTTCGAGGCTTGCGAGCGTTGCAAAGGGTCGGTTGTCCATGTGCCGCTCGCGCGTGCGGATGACGCGTTGGATCCAAAACTTCATCTGCGTCGCCGCCGCGCGGGCGCTGCCGCTGCCGCTGCCGCTGCTGCGGGACTGCAGCGATGTCACGGCTTCGTGGAGGAGCACGCATGTCGGCTCGGCCGGTGGGTTGCCGGCGAAGGTCTTGTCGATGGACTCACGCCAGAACTGCATGCGCATGGCGCCGATGGTCGGGTTCGTGACCACCTCGGGCAGCCGGACGAGCTCAAGATTCAGGGTGCGGAGAGCGAGGTAGGCATCGCGGACGTGCGCTGGGAGGGTTCGTTGTATCAGGTGGGCGTCATAATCGCTGTGCCTGGAAGCGTCATCGTCAGCCTTGGATAAAGTACATGCGAAGCAGACATGTCATCCTACTGGAGCTGCCGTTGGCAGTACTGCCGTGCCTTGTCGACATCGGCGGCGGTGACGATGCCGCGGGTCCCTGATCGAACCTGGACAGGTCGGAGCCTCCTCAGGCCATGGCTGAGAAGTTGTGGGCGATTCATCAGGAGACGGGTCTCGTTGTGTGATCCATCGCTCAAGAAATGGACAAGAGAGATAGACCCTGGGGCAGCCTCGTCTCGACTCGAAAAATCGGGAATGACGTCGCAGGGACGCTGCTTACCTAAGGACCATGATGCTGACCATTGTCGAGCTGCCACAGGCGGGAACTGCACTGCAAAATGTCAGCCGCGAGAGAGAGCGAGAGCTAAAGTGGATTTGCCAGGAGCACAGTCACGTGATCACCCGACGCGATCATCAGTCGCGCTTTGGGGTCATTCGCGTCTCCCCCCCCCCCCCCACGAACTTGCGTGCCCCAGCTGACCACATCCGACATCCAGCTCAGTATGGATCACGAGCCCCCAACGAAGCGGCGGCGCTTCTTTACGGATCCCGAAGACGATACAGGCAGTCACCTCTCGAGCCCGGTGCTGCCCACGCCTCCCACCCATCAGAAGACTCGATTCTTTCAGAGCCCGCCCAACGCTGGGTCATCTCAGATCAAGAGCGAAGATGCTCCGGCATTCCCTTCCTCGCCGATACCCGCTCGTGGGCCCCTCGTGGAGCAGTCCATTCAAGATGCATCAAATCGGTCTGCCCCTCTCGAGACCAGTCGGGAGGAGCCTGTCGTCTCTTTCGACCAGGAAATGTTTGAGAGCTTCGTCGGCGCCAAGGTGGCCAAGGAGACGATGAACATTATTCGTGAGAACTGCGGTGATAACCTTGAGAGAGCAGTGAACATGTACTTTGACGGCACCTGGAAGGATTTCAAGAAGAAGAACCCCTCCATCAACGCTTTTGTTCGACCACCACCCGCCGCCATGTCATCAACTCCCGAGCCGACGCCCAAAGACTCGCCAAAGCCCGTCATCCGCCGCTCCATGCCCGAATCACGATATGTGGGCGCCTTCGGCGTCGAGGGCTGGGCCACGAGGAGCGGTACAAACCTGCTGAAGCACGGCGACGTGGTCAAGATTGAGCGGAAGAAGATGCAGCTGCCGAAAGCCCCTCGCTCCGCCAAAGGCGCCGCAGCCGTGCACAAGCTCAGCGCCGCGGCCGTCGCCAAGCGAGATGACACGATTGTGCGGTTCACCACCAGCAGCGGCACCGAGATTGGAAGGCTCGTCAAGGACACGGCGAGCTGGGTGTCCACCCTGATCGACCAGCGCGCCTGCAAGTTTGAGGGCACCGTCGTCTACGCCCCGGACACGCTGCGGACCAACGACACCATCTTCATCCAGCTGCGGTGCTCGCTTCTCGCTACTGCCTTTCACAGCAGGGCGTTTCAGCTCGAGGACAACAACAGGTCGACGGCCTTCTTCGACCAGGGGGAGTCGATGGAGGAAAAGGACCTTCGCATGCGCCAAGTTGCCTTGGTGCGCCTCTTTCAAGAAGTGAACCTCGATCCTGTACAGTCCAATGCCGCCTCTTCGAAGCAGCAGCGACAGGAACTATTGCAGGCTGCGGAAATGGAGGAAAAGAAGGAGAAGGAGACGGCAAAGGCCGCGGCTACAGCAACCGCAAAGGACCAAGGCTCGTCACCACAGTCCGACGAAGAGGAGGGCGAAGAGCTTGAGCAGGACCAGCTCGACACCCTGTACAAGAAGGCCCAGTCCTTTGATTTCAACACACCAGAAGCGGAGCCTGCGGACACGTTTGCCATGAGCCTTCGCCCGTACCAAAAACAGGCGCTGCACTGGATGATATCCAAAGAAAAGGACCTCAAGAGCAACCGCGAGCCAAGCATGCACCCTCTGTGGGAAGAATATGCGTGGCCAACGAAAGACTTTGACGACAAGGATCTGCCCCAGGTCGACGGGCAGCCCAACTTTTACGTCAACCCCTACTCGGGCGACCTCTCGCTTGACTTTCCCACACAGGAGCAGCATTGCTTGGGTGGCATTCTTGCTGATGAGATGGGTCTCGGCAAGACGATCCAGATGCTGTCGTTGGTCCATACGCACCGCTCCGAGATTTCCCTCAAGGCCAAGGCTCCCAAGACGAACCTCGAGTCGATGATTGATCTCCCGCGTCTGACGTCAAGCGCAAACAATGTGCTGCAGGCTCCGTGCACTACGCTGGTCGTGGCTCCCATGTCGCTGCTGGCACAGTGGCAGAGCGAGGCCGACAAGGCATCCAAGGAGGGATCTCTGAAGACCCTCATGTACTACGGGGCCGACAAGGCAAACAGCAACCTGCAGGCTCTTTGTTGCGAAGCCAGCGCCGCCTCAGCGCCCGATGTCGTCATCACCAGCTACGGTGTCATCTTGTCAGAGTTCACCCAGCTTGCGAACAAGAAAGGCGACAGGGCCTATCACAATGGCATTTTCTCTCTTAACTTTTTCCGCGTGATTCTGGACGAGGGTCACAACATCAAGAACCGCCAGTCCAAGACGGCCAAGGCCTGCTATGAAATCGCGGCCGAGCATCGATGGGTGTTGACCGGCACGCCTATTGTCAACAGGCTGGAGGACCTGTTCAGTCTCGTGCGTTTCCTCCGTGTGGAGCCATGGAACAACTTTTCCTTCTGGCGGACCTTCATCACGGTCCCCTTCGAGTCGAAGAACTTCATGCGGGCCCTCGACGTTGTTCAGACTGTTTTAGAGCCACTGGTGTTGCGACGGACAAAGGACATGAAGACGCCAAACGGCGATCCGTAAGTGCTCAAATCACCAAACTTGGCCGACTTTGCTAATGATGTCAGGCTTGTCCCCCTACCACCGAAGAAGGTCGAAATCGTAGGTGTCAAGCTCGGCGAGGCGGAGCGCGGCATTTACGACTACATCTTCCTGCGCGCCAAGCAGGCCTTTTCAAAGAACATGGAGGCTGGCACCGTCATGAAGTCGTTCACCAGCATCTTTGCCCAGATCCTGCGACTGAGGCAGAGCTGCTGCCACCCGATTCTTGTCCGCAACAAGGATGTCGTCGCCGACGAGGAAGAGGCTGGCGCCGCGGCGGATTTGGCGGCGGGTCTTGCTGATGACATGGATCTCAATGTCCTCATCGAGCACTTCTCTGCCGACACGTCAGAAACGGAGACAAATCCCAATGCCTTTGGCGCACACGTCCTCGGCCAGATTCGCGATGAAGAAGCGAGCGAGTGCCCGATTTGTTCTGAGGAGCCCATGATTGAGCAGACGGTGACCGGGGGCTGTTGGCACTCGGCCTGCAAGAAGTGTCTGTTGGACTATATGAAGCACCAGACAGACCGCCACAAAGTACCGACGTGCCCGAATTGCCGAGCCGAGATCAACTACCGCGACCTCTTCGAAGTGGTGCGTGACGACAGCGACCTCGACATGTTCCAGAAGCCCCGGATCAGCCTGCAGCGCGTTGGCAAGAACAGCTCGTCCGCCAAGGTGGTCGCGTTGATCCGCGCCCTCCGTGAACTGAGGCGCGAGCATCCCCGGATGAAATCGGTTGTGTTCAGCCAGTTCACCTCGTTTCTGACTCTGATCGAGCCGGCGCTGGCCAAGTCGAACATCAAGTTCCTACGGCTCGACGGCACCATGGCGCAAAAGGCCCGCGCGGCCGTGTTGAACGAGTTTCAGGACGCCAACCAGTTTACCATTTTGCTTCTGAGTCTTCGCGCTGGAGGTGTCGGGCTCAACCTGACGACCGCCAAGCGCGTGTACATGATGGATCCGTGGTGGAGTTTTGCCATCGAGGCACAGGCCATTGACCGCGTGCATCGCATGGGTCAAGAGGACGAAGTCAAGGTGTATCGCTTTATTGTCGAGCAAAGCGTGGAGGAGAGGATGCTCAAGGTGCAGGAGCGGAAGAAGTTTTTGTACGTCGTCCGCCTCTTGTGCTTGCGTTGATTGTAGCTGACCACCTCACCAGGGCAACGTCTCTCGGCATGATGAGCGACGAAGAGAAGAAGCACCAGCGGATCGAGGACATCAAGGCCCTCCTCGACTACGAAGTCACGTCGCATTAATCACACTCTCGAGCAGATGACGATTCGGTTTCAAGACCTCTGTTCGAGGTCTGTTGCATTTTTTTAGGCTCCAGGGAAGAAAAGCATGCCCTAGAGATCATAGGGCCAACGCGCACGGCATGTACAGCATCAGGAGAGGCGTTCCGGTACGTTGGGAGGGCCCGCGGCACGCGGCCACATATTGTTAGATAGCAGGCCACGAGCCAACATGGGCATTTGGGCGCCCGAGTCACTCTGGCCGGTCTGGCATCCTCCTCCAGCGCATGCGTGACCATCACCTGACCCCTGGCACATGTTGAGTGTCTCGCCCATGGGCGATTGCAGTGAGCGCCGTCTGTGAATAACAGCCACGCCCGACCGCGTTCAATAAGCTGGCAACACCGTTCCTTCCTTCTCTGCCCTTGACTCCGCCAGATATCTTTTTCTTGTTCTCTTCTCAGCTCGTCGCCGAATGTTCCCTACTCAACTCGTCGCCGAAATGCCCCTCTCCCACCAACGCACTTGACAAAAGAAGAAACACCACCTGGACCAGATCGAGAAAAGCTTCGTCGGCGCGCACGACCGAGACATGGACACGATCCTTCCACTGCTCAAGACAATAGTCCGCAACCGCCAACGTTCGACCAAGACGCCCGAGCGGCGTCACTCCCGCGACAAGTCTCGTGGCAAGCAGCAGCAGCAGCAGCAGCACAGCGGCGAACTCGAGGTCCTCCTCTTCCTGCTCGCGCACAAGGGCATGGAGTACGCGGCCAAGCGGTACCTGGCCTCGGAGCACGGGACCCAGAGGCGCGAGGAGGGCCAGCCGGCTGTGGACAGCGACGCGCTGGAACGGCTGGGGCGGGTTATTCTCGCTAAGATCATGGGCGCGAAGGACGAGGGGCGGATGACGGGAGGGGGGGCGCGGCGCAGACATCGCGATGATGGGAACGACAAGGACAGGAACGACAAGGACGGGAATGGCAAGCACAGGCACGACAGGGGGCAGCGACGGCACCGGGACGCGTCGTCCGAGTCGCGGTCTCGTCACCGACGGCAGTACGGCGGCCGAGACGACGGCGGCAAACACGAGAAGCACAGGCGGAGGCAGCACGAGGGCGACGCGCATCGACGACAGAGGCGGCGCGGACCGGCGCTCGAGATGGAGGAGCTGCGCGCGCGGCTGGAGGACATGTCGGAGGCGCTCATCGGGATGAATGAGAGGCCTGCTGGGCGGCCGGGGCACGAGGAGTGCGAGTACTACGACCTCTTTGTCGCGGCGTCGACGCCGCTGCAGGATGCTATTGGGGGTGTTCTGGGGCAGATGAGGGAGGTCGAGGGGGGGAAGGGCCGCGGCCGGCGGAGGCACGGCGGCGAGCACAAGGAGAGGCGGAAGAAGGAGGTGCCGGAGCCTGAGGTCAGTCGGGGGCGAACGAGGAGGCGACAGGAGCATGGGCGGTAGCTGGGAGAGCTTGACCTCGTACTTGGGATCTGCTGGCTTAGAATTCTGTGGTTCGAACCGTCGAGTGAGGGGATGTATAGTCCCCCAGAATGTGAAGAGACTTGGCGCCTGCAAGGCCTGGGTAGGAGGTCTGTTCCTAAGGTGATATGCCTCTTCTTCCGGAAGTCGGCTTAGCCTTTGATTTGATTTACTTCTTACTCTATAAAGTCCTTCATCGCTGCAGCTCACTCATGTTAGCCTGGCTTTTAGCAAGCCATTCTGACTCTTCATATAGCACCACCATGCTAGCACTATACAGGGGGGTTGCTTCTGTGATACCACCCACCAGTGAATTACAACTGAGCAGGGGACAGCCAGTCTGCTGTTTTTGTGAGTACTGCAGAGAGGGCACCGCTGCGCAAATTATATAGCAAGCCGTCTCTACTCCTCTCAGGAGGAGGTCATGTTCAATACAGCCCAGGTCGATTGACGTTGAGTGTCGAAACTCGACAGCACAGCCGGAGAAGCAGCCATCGATGTCAATGACCTACACGAAACAACAAGCGGCGACTGCAAGACAATTTCTTATCAAACCTGGCTTTTCACTTGGAAACCGCCGAGTCGGCGAAAGGCACATCCTTTGTTTGAATATTGCTGCTTGTTGACGTGTAAGGCAAGCAGCAGCTGGCCGGCCAGATGGAGCAAACTGTGTGCAAAGGGTTGCGACATGCATCCGGAGCAAAAGCATCGTCGAAATCGACCATCAGGAATGGATGCCATACTGGGTTTATTGAATGGATAATTACCACACTGGATTCCCAGGAGTCTTTCCCAGCGAGCGAGATGCCAAAGTGAGAAGCGCATCAAGTTGCACTGATGATGACTAAGCGAGACGCAACACGCAAGGCAGGAGCATCCGACGGCTGGCCATTCTCATTGGCTCGGAAGGTGCAAAGCTGCCATACCTACCCGAAGCTCGGAACACAGGCACGACAGGCACTTCATCTCCTCAACACGACCCGTCTTGATCCCCTCTTCGGACCACCATGCTACGCTTCCCACACATTCATCGTTCGAACCTCCGAGATCTGCAGAAGGGAATCCCCTCTCTCCTTACTGCGGAGCCCCAACCCCTACCGCCGAGAGTGAGACCCCGGTCTACCCGCGATGGACCCTCCTCGGAGGACGGGCCCCGTCTCCCCTAGTTGCGAACCTCGACCCAAACGCCTGAAGATTGACGTGGCCTGCGAGACCTGTCGTGCCAAGAAGGTCAAGTGTGATGGCGTGCGGCCCTGTGAGTGATCCCGATGCCCGTTATTTCATCACGAGGCACCTACACCAGGAACATATTCTTGTCATCAAGCGGAAGCATGACTGACTGTTGTTAGCTTGCGGCTATTGCTCCAGGAAGCTGAGCCTTCGTGACAACTGCCGTTACAGCAACGATGTGAGCTCTGAGGCAGACCCGAAGAAGAGTACCCCCAGACGCGACAGCCACCTCCTGCAGCCATCGTCAAGCAGCCCGTACCGTCCAGCCAGGGCCCCGAATGGCAGAGCCTCAGGAACGCTTTACCTCCCCCCCATCCAGCCCTTGTTAACTCCCAGGGTACCACCCCCGATGAAGCCACCCTCGCAGGGCACCCACTCGCCGACAGGATCGACCACCCCCGGGAGTCGAGCCGGAGCGGATCCCAGGGAGCCTAGACCCCATCCGCGTCCCGGCCCCGCCACCATCACCACCAGCCCCTCTGTCATTGACTCGATGACGGCCGTCGTCGACGAGGGCACCAGCACCCGCGAGTTCTTCGGCAGCAGCAGCGCCGGCTCCTTCACCGCACAGATCAAGAGGGCAATCGACGCCCGCCTGGGCAAGGCCAACGGCGGGCCCTCTCGTCAAGCCGCGCCGTCTCGCTCTTCCCTCTCCATGATGTCGACCCACTCGGCCAAACACCCGGCCTCAGACGTGTCCTATGTGTTGCCGCCTCGCCGGCAGGCCGATCACCTCATGGATCTCTACTGGTTCTACGTCGACCCCCTCTACCCGTTCCTCAACAGACAGCGCTGGAACCAGACCTACAATGCCATCTTTGCCGGTGGCGCCATTGACGCCGATGAGCGCATCTTCATGGCCTCGCTCAACGTCATCTTTGCCCTCTCCACACAGCTTCTCGAGGCCTCGACGCCGGAACAGAGGGAAGAGCAGAGCTCCGTCTACTTCCAGAGAGCGCAGGCCCTACTGCCGATGAACCCCTGGGATGCGGGGTCCATCGACCTTGTCCAGTGTTTACTCCTCACGAGCCAGTACCTGCAGAGCACTGATCACCCGCACCAGACCTGGATGGTCGTCGGGTCGGCCATCCGGACGGCACAGGGCCTCGGCCTGCACCTGCCGGAGACGTCTGGCGATCGGACTGATCTGGGCGAGCGAGAGCTCCTGCGGCGCATTTGGTATGGCTGCGTGCTGATGGACCGGTGAGTTGCTGAGGTTGGCTTTTTCCCACTTCCTATAACTGACATCTCGAAAGCATGGTCTCTGTGACCCACGGCCGGCCTGCCATGATCTCTGGCCATCTAGCCACAACAGTGCCTCTACCCATGTCTTCTGCATCGTCTGTCAATGGAACAGAGGCTGCTTTGAGTGGTGGGGCAGTCCATGCCGCCTTCTTCGTCAAGTCGGTCCAGCTCTACGAGATTATTCATCGGACCATCATTGCATTTTATGGAGGGACCATGGGATGTTCCAAAAGCAAACAGTCCCAGGGCTCAGACTCTGGGAGCTCCGACGGAGACGACGACGACTTTGACAAGGTCGTGCAGCTGGACAGGTCACTGAGCCACTGGGAACAGCGTCTGCCAGTGCACCTGAGGTGGACTTCGCTGGTAGACACGGCCGACGAGGTCTCGCGGCGGCAAACTGTCATTCTGCGCATGCGGTATGTCTGCACCTGACTTTTGACTTGACAGAATGACTTGACAGAATGATGGGACAGAATATTCTGACAATTTCTAGCTTCTTGCATGCTCGGATTCTCCTCCTCAGACCCGTCCTGTCGCGCTTCTGTCTCGCCCCGCCGACGCGTGCCGTCACATTCGGCCTCACCGATAGCCTCCAAGCACGCGTCGTCGAACAAGGCGCTCTCTTTTGCGTGTCGACTGCCCAGAACATGATAGCCGTGCTGCTGGAGCATCAGACCTCGGACAACACCATCGGCCTGCTGCCCGCCTGGTGGTACCGGGTCTACTACGTGTACTCAGCTGCGACGGTGCTGATTGCCGCCAAGCTGCGACCCGAGATCTTCCCTGCCGTTGAAATTGGGCGCTCTTGGAGTCAGGCCATGGCGGTGCTCAAGTCGCACGAGCGTTTCGGTCAGTCAGCGCGAAGATGCGTTGCTGCTCTACACATTTTATCATCCAAAATGCTCGAGGCAGCGCCGGGAGCTGCACACTCGGGCCTGGCCAGCCGGGGACGGAGTCTGGGCGAAGGCGAGACGGGCGTGCACCCAGATCTCGACGCTTCTACCCAGCCCATTCCCGACATTCAGCAGCAACTGGTCGATGAGTTCGCACCGCCGCTAGCAGACCTCGGCGAGCTCGATCTAGCCGAGTTCAATTTTGACGTGAATGATCTTTCATGGCTCAACGACATGCACGCCACATGGGAATTTCTCAACGAGTGATCCAGGGGAACAAAGGCAAAAAAAAATCAATGAACGCTTCATGAATACATTTTACTCAAAGACCATCTTATTCCTGACGCTGCCGAGGCCGCTAATGGTCACCTCGACGACATCGCCGTCATTCAGGTACCTGGGCTCCTTCATGCCCATGGCCACGCCCGACGGCGTGCCCGTCAGCACGACGGTGCCGGCCTCGAGCGTCGTGCCCTGGCTGAGGAACTCGACAATGGCCTCGACGCCGAACAGCAGGTCGTCGGTGCCCTCGTTCTGGCGCTCCTCGCCGTTGACAAGCGTGCGCAAGCGCAGAGACGAGGCGTCGCCGACGACGGATGGAGACACGAGCATGGGGCTCAGCGGCGCAAATTTGTCAAAGCCCTTGCTGAAGCACCACTGCGGGACGCCGCCGGCCTTTTTGGGGTCGCGCTGCCAGGCGCGCGCTGACACGTCGTTGCAGGCAAGGTAGCCAGCGATATGTGAGAGGGCGTCCTTCTTGGCGATGTTCTTGCCTGACTTGCCGATGACGAAGACCTTTTGGGGTCAGACTTTTCAAAGAAGATGAAAAAGTTATGGTGTCAGTGGTTGAGACGTACTAGCTCGCCCTCGTAGTCGACGGTGCCATCTTGAGCGACCTTGGGAATAGGCACGTCCTCGTTGTGCCCCGCCACGCACGTTGCGGGCTTGATGAAGAGAGAGGGAAAGGGGGGTGGTGTGCGGCCGCCCTCTTTGACTAAGTCCATGTGAGATGATATTCGATCAAACTATGGTGCAAGTCTTACTGTGCTTGATGTAGTTGAGGCCGATGCAGCGAATGATGGGCACGTCTGAGGGGCGCAGAATGTCGCGGACCTCCTTAACGTGCACCTTTTCGCCCCTCGTGAGGCTGCTCACCGGACTTGTGCCCTTGTACTCTACCGCCCAGAGGTCATTGGAGGCGGCGCGGGCGGCAAAGTCTTTTTCGTCGGTGACTTGGGGCTCACCAAAGGTCTCGTTGCCGTTGTCGTCGACGAAACGGATGAGACGAGACCAAGGAGCGTCAGACATGATGTGAGAATGGGCTGAGAATAAGTTGATCGGTGTTTATGCGTCACTATGCCACCTCTCAGATCAATACAGAAGTGAATACCATGAACTTCCTGTAAAACGAGGTAAACAAGTAGTTGAAGTAAAGGTGGTAGTGTTTTCGACGTGTCGCTCCCGTAAGCCAATCATATGCTGTTCCGCTCGGAAACATGGAGACACCGGACTCGGAACGAATGACAGACCGAGCGCACCGGAAACCCCTCCCCACCCCCCCCGGGCCCCCCGCCCCCCGAGCTGACTCCGCCGAGAGCCGTTATACTCCTTCAGGGGAACTCCTGAATCGAGCGTCCCGGGTGTCATAAGGGCATTGACGCGCTCCGGCAGTTGAGACGGGCGTACGGCTCGCTTCTGTCTTCATATAGCCTCACTTTATCCTTTTGCCTCTTGCAATTCCGTTGCCAAAGGCTTTTCACACCCAAAGCAGCACCAGAAGCAGCTTCATCGTCATGGGATCCTACATCAGCACAGAGGCGCACACTCAGGCAGCTGATGACAGCGAGACGAAGGAGATGCAGGACTTTCTCAGCGAGCTGCCGTCGCAGCATCTCGAGCCGCTGTGGTCGCAGATGAACGTCATGGTGCCGCCGAGCCCGAACCCCACGGCCAAAGCGCACATGTGGAAGTACGCCGAGGCGCTGCCGCAGCTGCAAAAGGCCGGCGCGCTCGTGCCGGAGGAGAGAGCCGAGAGGCGGGTGCTGATGCTGGTGAACCCGAGCATGCGTGCGTCGAAAGCCGAACCCGGCAAACCATCTCACAGAAAAAAAAAAAGAAACGGCAGAGCAACTGACACTGGCGCAGAATCCCCCTACACGACAGACACCATCTACGGCGGCCTGCAGCTCGTTAACCCGGGCGAGACGGCGCCGGCGCACCGCCACCTCGCGTTCGCGTGCCGCTTCATCATTGACGGCGAGGGCTTCACGGCCGTCGAGGGCAAGAAGATGCCCCTCGTCCGCGGCGACGTCGTCACGACGCCCATCTGGCACTGGCACGACCACGGCAACGAGAGCAGGGAGCCTGTCATCTGGCTGGACATGCTGAACTTGCCGCTGTTTCGCTTTGCGCCGGTGCACTTTGCCGAGGGCTACGCCGACCCGCGGTACCCCAGCACGTGAGTGCTCCTTTTTGCGATTTTCCATGAGGCTTCATTGCATGAGGCATGAGGAAGACGCGAAATGGAGAGTTCCAAAGAATGCTGACGAGCCAGACCCTGCGACCCCTGCGAATGGCGCCATCCTTGGGCGCCCGTGGAAGAGGCCCTCAACGCCGCCGCCGGCCCCCACGCCGTGCACCACTACCGCAACGCCGACGGCAGACCCCTGTCCACGACCCTCGGCGTGCAGGCCGAGCGCCTGGCGCCCGGCGCCGAGGCCGCGTCCCGCGACAGCTGCTCGTACATCTACCACTGCTACGAGGGCACGGGGCGCACCGAGGTCGAGACGCCGGCGGGCGAGAAGAGCGTGTTCCGGTGGACGGCGCGCGACACGTTTGCCGTCCCGGCGTGGTCGTCGGTGAGGCACGTCAACGAGTCGCCGGACCAGAGGGCGTACCTCGTTGCGTGCCACGACGGTCCGTTTCTGGACATTTTGGGGCTCAGGAGGCCGAGCAGCTGAGTTTCCCGCCCCCTTCAACGGGCAGAGGGAGGGGTGGCATCGGGGAGTCCAACTGAGCATTAGCGTGCGTCTGAATACATGTGTTTTTTTTTTCTGCTTTGTTTGCACCAACGACTGGTGCTGCTTCGTCCAGCCCGCATCCGGAAGCAGGGCTGTGTCAGCGGGTGTGCCCGTTGGTTGCGAGGGCGTGGCGATGGTGTGTGACATGTAACCTATCATGCAGGCGTGGACCTGTCGCTTGGTCGATTCCCAGGCAGCCTCGTTGGCCGGGTCCTGTGGGTGGCCTGAGATGGTAACCCCTCATTTTGACGAGCGTTTTTCCTGTCGCGGCAGACTTTTTCGAGGATTTCCACGCCCAGCATTTCTTTCTGACGCCCCCAAGGCCATCGGGCGACGAACAACGTCCATCTACCGCCAACGGGACGGCAGCAACGCCAACATGGCCGAGATCGTCGGCCTCGTCGCCAGCAGCATCGCCCTTGCCCAAGTCGTCGGCAAGATCGGGGGCGGCGTGCTCAAGCTGAAGCGCATGTGGGACGAGGTCAAGGATGTGCCTGAGGCGATCCAGGATCTGTTCAAGCGCCTCGAACTCATTCTGCCCATGGTCGCCCGTATTGCTCGAGATATTGAGACGGGTGCAACTTTGTTTGAAGACATGGAAGCCGTCGAGTCGTGTATCCTGTCCTGTCAGCAGGTTATTTCGGACGAGGCGACCATGATGAACGATCTGATTGTACAGATTGATGCGACAAAACGGGCAAGACGAGTGAGGGATTTTGTTCGCGTGGCTCTGAAGCGGGATGTATTGGAACGACACGAGAAGAAACTCGAGGTTATGATTCAGATCTTGCTGCCCGTGCATTCCGAGTATTCCAGGTTCGTTGGCTATCCCAACCTGCGCCGCTGGGTGCAAGTTGCTGATGTCCGTTCAGGGCCTGCACCAAGGCTATCCCGACGGCCGTTGTCCAGCATCTGTCAGCCTCGGGATATGTAGCAAAGCAAAGAAGAGGAGAAAAGAATGACGTTGAAGAGAGGGATTTGAGCCTTGAACCATGGAGGAAACAGAACGGCCTAAGCACCTATCGAGGCATGTCCCTCCCAAGTTCAACGCTCGAGCTGCCATGGAAAGGCCAGTCATTCTTTGGGAGCTTTACAAGCGCAAGCCGCACTTCTCAAATTGTGCATGGATCTTCCAAATACGACATCACAGGTATAAAACTTTATCAGCCCACTTGACTCTTTTCCTTGCCTGTTCAACTAAGGCTCACATGGAACAGAACGAGCGTTCCGCTTACAGCCCCCTAGGTGGTTAGCGCAGCATGCTTGGGAGCTGCGAGTACTCTCCGGATGGCAGCTGCATTTCAGAGCTTACAATTTTGTGCCAGATCGCTCGCCTGCATTTATATCCGTCGTTTGTGGTGACATGAACACTCTGCTTCGACTCTTCAAGGGAGGAAAGGCGTCCCCATTCGATGTATCCGAAAGCGGCTCGCTCATGCATGTAAGCTTCTGTATGCCACACGACATAGCCTGAAGGACTAAAGGAAACACTACCAGGAGGCTTTGCGATTCGGACGACTCAGAATCATTCGAACCTTGGTTCAACTCGGAGTCTGCATGAGCCACCAAGACCTTCTACACGCTACATACGGCTTGGCCAACATGGGAGTCCAATCTGATTCTCTCTGCGACATAGAGAAGGCACGACATGTGGAATCATTCAGGCATCGCTTGCAGTCCTTGAGACACATCCGTTTCAACATGAAAGAGGAAACCTTTGCATTCCTTCTCTGGCACGATGGTGTGTTGTGTCCCGCGGACATTGACCACGTTCGATCTCAGGGCTGCTCGTTCATACACCTCGCTTCCCGCATCTCCTTTATGGAAGCAGTCGAAAAAGACTTGTCGGAAGCAAGAGTCATCTTTCCCATGGCTACAGATGGGGACAAAGTATCGACGCAGCGACGAGCATGAGATCATGGCGAACATGGACCAAATCAAAATCGAGAGCATCGGCCCGAAGTGCATGGAAAAGGCGGAGGAGCGAGATCATTAGACTGACCGCGGACTGGCACCTGCGCTATGGTGGCTCTATCCTATCGATCCATAAAGACAGCACCTTGGCCCAGAAATCGTTGAGGTCCCTGATCTTGACAATTTTAGACGGGTGTAGGCAAATTATTACGTATCATTCGTTCTGGACGCTCTACAAGTTTAGAGATGGGAAGTACCACCATTGGACGTCGGTACCAACGGTGAGGTTGATGACTCTCACGCTTCAGTCTTGGCTGGAAGATGTTAACGAAAGCGGCATCAATCTGACGTCCTACGGCCGTGAAGAGCTGGAAATCATCAAGTCCACTACCAGCGATCGAGAATTCCAATACGGTCCACTTCGTTTTCGACCACTGGACCACGACGACTGCATACCTAGAGTCCCGAAAGCAACGGACACCACAGACTGCTGCCGTTTCCCAAGGCTTGAAACGTTCACATACGGGCCGAGCCCCGGTGACTGGACCTTCACCTGGGACTGGGGCACGGAGGAATTCGCCGGCGAATTTTGGGCAGCGATCGAAACGCCTGCAATCTCCATCCCCGGAGCTTGGATCGAAGAGCAGTGCTACGACTATGACGAATTATACGAGGACAATTTTGAACAATTTCTCCCCGAAAAGGAATAGGATGATCCATATGTCAGACACCTCCCATCACATCCTCACTCTCCCATTCACCAACCTCTCGTTCCACCTTCTTCTGCTCAGCCCTGCTAACACCACAAAGGAAATCACAGAATTGTAGACAGCAACTCCCATCCCCCTCTTCCTCATCATCCACCTCACACTCGCCCCCGACGGACTCCCCCGACCACGACATCATCTCCGGCTCACCAAGCACGCCGCCCATCATATCCGGATCATACCACCCCGCCGGATCAAAGCACTCCTCCAATCCCGGCTCCATCGCCACCTCAGGCGGAGCCAGCACCTCCTCGCCCACCGGCACAGGCACAATCGGCACAAACACCGCCCTCTGCCTCTGCCCTCGCCCGCGCCGCGCATGCTTGTGGCTATACCTCTTTGCGCGCGCCCTAGGCATGTACTCCGGCCGGCGGCACGGCGCGGGCGAGGGCGCAGGCGTCTGGCGGGAACAAGAAGCATGCTTGGCGCCGTGGTGCTTGTGGCCCCGCGGATGATGTTTGTGGTTGTGATGGTGATGGTGGTGGTGGTGGTGGTGACCTTTCCGAGCACGTCGACGGCCTTTTCCTGTCCTGGCCTTGGTGGGCGTCTTGGGCGAGAAGACGCAGTTGAAGCAGGCGTACAGGAGGGCCAGCGTGACGACGGCGCCGACGAGGGTGCCGATGAAGAGGCCGGCGATGCGGCCTCCGTCGGCGCTGCGGCGGTGGAGAGGGTGGGGAGATGGTGGTGGGAGGGGCGCCATTGCAGTCTGGGCTGTGATGATGCTGGGACGTGCATGGCGTGTCGTCTGTTAGTTTGAGTGTGCGCCTCTGCTTGGGATATGGTTTGAAATCTGCATCTCCAGCAGCATGGACTTTATGGTGATTTCTTTTTTTTGACCTAGGTGCAGGGGAAGCAGTCTAGATTGACAAGCAGGACAACATGGGAGACAAGTGCTTGACAGATAGTGCGGACGGACATTGAAGCACCAGTCAGTTCCATGTTGCCCTGGGCAAACGGTCAGCATCGCGAGCATAGTTTTCACAGCAGGAGCCGCTGGTGCCAGGCGTGCCTCAGATGTTCGAATGTGTAGCCACCTGGTGAGACCCTGGACCAACGGGTTGGATCTGGGTCGTGGCACGGGAAGATCTGGCGCTACTTGTTTGCCTATCCAGCAAACCATGGATGACACACACCATGCTGAATATGACAACTACCGCAATCTTGAGCCAGGGAAAACGACAAGTCGGTGTCAATTTGGAGGAAATAGTACAATATCTGAGACTGCCCAAGTATCCTTGCGGCGATGGCTCGCCCGTGTCAAACCATTCCCTCAAAGAAAACATGACTGGCAACGAAAAGCAGAAGAGACTGGCACGGTATGGCAACAACATTGATCGCTAGGACAACCCAAAGTTCACAACACTAGACGTACAGGTAAAACACTTTGTGCTCTGGCCATGTCAGCAAATGGCCCAAGGGTGTTGGCACCACGAAACTGACCTCAACTGGCAAGCTTTATCCTGCATCACGCGGCAGCAGGAGCAGGAGCAGCATCGGCAGGAGGTGCAGGAGGAGACGGCGGCGGCGCGCCTTCGGATGATGACTTGGAGCTTTTGGAGCCTGGTCGCCGATGGTGACGGCGGCGACGGCGGCGGCGATGGCGAGCTTTCCGCAGGGCGTCTCGATAGACGTAGAGGAAGATGCAGACGCCGATGACGAAAACTCCGAGGAGCACGCCCAGCACAATGCCCACTGTCCTGTTCGTGTTGTCGTTGTTCGCCGAGAGGGAGACCTGTCTGCGCTTTAAGAGCTTCCGCCGGAACAGTTGCGAGATGCTGCGTCAGTGCTGCCCACGAGCCCGGGCCTGGTGAAGCCCCTGACCCCGCATCACGGGCCAGGAGGTCTGGCACGCGGCGGGCTTGAAGTGGGATATACATGCGATGCAGCTGCGTCGAGGGTTGGGCATCATACGAGACGCGCAGTGAGTGGGGAGGTCAGG